TCGCTAACTGCGTTCGATTGGGACAAACACTCCTCGTAAACCCTAATTTATAAACCCTAAACCCTAAACCATAAACCCTAATTTACAAACCTGCGTTTATAAACCCTCATTTGTAAACCCTAATTCCATAAACCCTTTTTTCTAAACCCTAGTTTCATAAACCCTCATTTTACTCGCTAATTGTGTTCGAATAGGAGAAACATTACTCGTGAACCCTAAACCCTAAACCCTAAACCTTAAACCCTAATTTCATAAACCCTAATTTATAAACCCTAATTAATTAATACTGGTAAACCCTAATTCTTAGACTCTAGTTAATTAATATTAATAAACCCTAATCCATAAACCCTCAAAACCCTAAACCCTAAACCCTAAAACCCTTATAGCATTTTCATGAGAGAACACGTGATAAACCCGTAAACCCTAAACCCTCAACCCCCTAAACCCTAAACCCTAAACCCTAAACCATTTGTAACACGACAAACCCTTTCTTTGACTGTGTGTCTGTGTCTATCCGAACGGCAAGGGTTTAGGGTTTAGGGTTTATGGTTTAGGGTTTAGGGTTTGGGTTCAGGTCGAAGACATAGAAGAAGATATCCCCCCTCTGTTTTCTCCTTTGCTGCGTCTGCCGCTGCAGCAGCAGCAGCAGCAGCAGCAGCAGCACGCAGCAGCAGCAACAGAAAACCCTCCTAGGGTTTATATCGGTGGTTTAGAGCTGAAAGTAGATAAAAACTTTTCTCTCGTGTTTACTACGAAACTACATAACCCTCATTATCTACCCGATATAGCTATGCAGGAAAGAAAACCCTAAACCCTAAACCCTAAACCCTAAACCCTAAACCCTAAACCCTAAACCCTAGGTGTTCGTAGCACCTTCTCCCACCTCGAAACCCTACACCTTCATACTTTTCCTAACTTTTTAATTCTTGTAAACCCTAAACCCTCATAAACCCTAGAGGGCTTCACAAACCCTAAACCCTAAACCCTAAACCCTAGCAGCTCTTTAAACCCTCACAAACCCCAAACCCTTCTAAACCCTCACCCTTGACGAAGCAACTAGCAGCGCTCTCTCCCTCCTCTATATAAAACCCTTTTTTGTATGCAATATATAAGGGTTTAGGGTTTAGGGTTTAGGGTTTAGGGTTTAGGGTTTGGTGTGTTTCAGCTATCAATCGTAGACT